GCATCGGTATCAACCGTACGGAGCACAAACATCAGCGCGAAAAGAACATATCTCGTTCTACGAGCGTGTCATTGAATTACTTCCACCGAAATGGTTCGATCTTTTCAATCGTGAACGATCTCGACGAATCAATATAGATCTTGCTCATCAACAAAGGTCAAATTCGTTTTCTGTGCGATCTTCACACTTGCTTACTCGTTCTCGATTGAATCAATCCCTCAATGAACAACATGGGAGACTTAAATTAGTTCGACTTCAGAGAAATGAATCCGAACCGAGCAATAATCGTCGCATCATACCTCACTTTGTACAACAAAGAAAACCTGACAATGTGCAGTAGCTGGATGTCGAAAAGAATCATTCGAAAAACTGAAGACTGCACAAATATTCAGAATCGATGGATATATGTACATATTCAAAAACTATACTCTTTACTCACAGTAGTCGTAAACTGAAATAGAAACTCTTCTCATTATGTAACATGCTGATAGTTTCCTACTTACAATGAATGAATCAATATCGTTCTATCGAATGCAGTACCTACGCGGTTAATACTCTTAACTGTGAATGGGCATACGAACTTGTAGTGCAAACGTAATTGTGAATCCAATTTAAAGAGCAAGGATGTTTTTCATAATACAGACAACATTTGATTGCTCTAACGAAAATGTAGTGCAGCTAGAGTTGCATGCACAATTCATGAAAATTCTCATTGTCCATGCCTGTAACTATCAACTGATAAAGCATATACTTGCTCACTATCTACTCAGTATATCAACAGAATGTAACAGTATGCATAGGCAGATAACTCTTGTCAGACATTTTTCTACTATATTAAAGACTTTCGCTGGCAGAAATACTATTTTTCAGCAGAATATATTATTTTTAATCTCATTGAATTATTACTTTCCCTTAATTCATCAGTTTAATTTTGGTCGACATTGAACGTTGAAAATTGACTTATGATGTGTATGTCTCTAATGTTTACTAGAGTCTTGCGAAAAATTCAGTCGAGCAATGCAATCGTAGCATTTATAGCACCAACAGAGTAAACGGCCACATCTACATCAGAGTAAGTATACATAAGTGTTGTTGAAAGCAATCAAGGATAGTTTTACATGATCTCAAATTAAAGTTCAAAAATACCACTGGATGATGTTGATTTGATTTTTATAAACAGCAAAACATTAACTGTGAACCATGCTTGAAGCCAATATATATGGGAACAAGTCATGTGTAAGTGTACAGCCGTTCAGCGACCCACAGTAGTTAATTCAGCAAGGATATGGCTGCCAGCCTTGATTCATCAGTACTCAGAGTACGCTCCTCTGTTGAGGAGAAGTAAGTCTAGAAGATAATCAACTTAATATTGCTCAGCAACAGAATGACAATGATCTGATGAAAGTATAGTTGAAAAAGTTAAACATCATGTTTTGTATCGCCTAAGACAAGGATCCGAGAAGTATTTAGATTTGATGAAAAATGGATTTAAGTATTATCTTTCATCTGTTGAGATTAGGCTCAGTTACTCAAGAAGAAGTGCAGATCGCACCGAGTCCCTACTCGTAATACAGTTCGAATAGATATAGGCATGATCGACATGATCCTATTCTAAGTAAGGTGGCATAATTCATAATCAAAACTCGATAGTGGTGTGCATTCTAAGTGAATCGTACATGATATGAAGTATGAATGTATATTTCGATGTGGGGTGTGGGTGTGGGTATGGGTGTGAGTATTTTCTTCTTTACACTGATACTTACACCTACATCGACACCCACACCTCACACCCACACCCAAAGTGCGCTATCGGTGTCCATTGAAAAGATTTTTTTCGACCATTAGTTATGAGTTCCAAATGATTTAAATCAGGTCGTTGCTTTAAGAATGGTTCGATTTCATCCATCGATACGTAATAATCTACATATCACAAAATCATCTATTTCCGCTTGTAAAATATCATTATTAGGATATGCGAGGTGTGGATATGCGTGTGAATAAAGCTGTGGTTGCTCGTGTAAGTACGGATGTGGACCTAGATAACTATATCTCATTTACACAGAAACCCAACCCAATTCCACAAACTTCAACACACACGCACGCACCCATATACACACCTCCAACTCATACCCACACACCCTGGGTTTGCTTTTGTGAATAATAAATACAGTCTATGTTGTCTTTTCATGGTAGTTTCTATATGCATATGTCGGGTGAACCATTGTCAATGGTCGCGTTTTGCATTTCAATTTGTAGTTACTTAAGGGAGCTCAGATCTTTACTTAATACCCACTGTATAGAGAAGAGAAGAATATTTTTCTTTGTTTCACGGAATAACGAAGTAAAATGAAGTACAGAAGAGTACTATGTTTAAGATGGGAATGATTTTCTGAAGAGTAAATAGTCAGAAAACATGAATTATTCTCTTTTGCATCTGGTAACAAAACCTTTTCTTGACAATAATTTAGTTAGTCTTTCGATTAAAAATATTGCAAAACTAGAAGTAACAGACGATGAAAATTATTCAGTCGAAAAAAAATAAAATCAAAGCGCAAAAATTATTGATTTTTATTTCTTAAATAAAATTCGATAGATATTTAAAGTTAGTATAAAATATTATTTAAAGCGAAGAAATATCTTAGCATCATAAGCGATACTAGTTTATCAATCCGTTCTTTTGATAAATAAAAATTTACTATAATGTCCACCATTGATAACACGAAAGACGTGATATCGTGTATTTGCGATATTTATGATGGAAGTAATGGTCATCTATTATTCGGTATAATTAATGGCGACATTAGGTTTTGAATTAATTATCCGTTTAGAGCGTATCTCCATTTGTTAAAATTGATTATAGGAACTATGACATGCAACTACTCTTTTGGACGACGAAAAGTGCGATTCATTGATTTTATTCTATAAAATAGTGCATAAGAGATATTATCACTTGTCTATTTCGAAATGAGTCATAGTAATTGTCGATGCAGAAAAACGTGAGCAATTATTTATCTATTCTTATTGGTATTGTATGCACTCCATGTATTTATAATCACCACGTAGCATTTTTTTCTCTTCCCCTGCACCGTGTAGGTTAGGACATATCAGTGTGTGATATAATGCTTTTTTTCTTTCACTTTCTCCACCATGTGAATGCTTTTTTTCTACTTTGAATGTTTGATAAAGTTGTAGATAGATAACGATGAAATTAACTACCACTCTCGCCAAATATTTTTTCAAAAGGCAGATAAGTTATTTAATAATAGTTACTAATATGTCTTTTGCTTTGGAGCAAGTAAATTGCAACATTGATTTTTTCTATTTATTTAAAGATGTCCGAAGACGAATTTGTCGACAAAATATCATTAGACTATGTAATCGCTGAACCACTAATCAATGAGTATATGGAAACTTGTTTACCAATTACGCTTCCATTCCTATCTCAGCATTGCGCGATCATTTATTGACCGTGTGTGAGCGTGCTTGGCAAAAGTAAAATATCCGTGTCTCGCTCGTTGGTCTTTTCTTCACTTTTTCCTTAAACAAAATTCTATTTACAGAGAAATTCTTGAAAAATGTAAAAATGAAAGCCCAACGGTGATTGATTTCGGATGCTGTCTTGGCCAAGATGTCCGACAACTCATGTACGATGGGGTACCTATCAATCAAATACGTGGCTATGATCTCGATCTTTTTTCATCGAGCAAGGTTATGAACTGTTCTGTGATGGCAAAATAATGGCAGAAAAGAAAACATTTACTTCGGGTGACATATTTAATGATCGATTTCTAGATGTGATAGAACCAGCCGATTATGTTCATGCCGGAGCATTCATCCATGTCTTTGATGTTGCATTTCAAAACGAAGTTTGTCGACGACTCGCTCATCTATGTAAACGCACTATCTTTGGATAGCAAAAGGGTGCATTAGTGCCGAGAGAGTATTCGACACCTTTAACATGTAAGGGTAGTAAAGCACTGTGGCACTCTCCAGAGAGCTTTGCGACTATGTGGAATGATGCTACAGATGGTAAATGGCAAGTGGAAAGTGCTTCTTTGCAGACGATGGATGGCATGGAATATATGAGTCTGCTGCTCATGTTTGTAGTTAGAAAAAGAGGAGAATTGTAATCAGGTTTCTGTACAGTCTCATTGTTAACTAATAACAAAATAACTGTAATTGATGTTGCCTATCGGGAAAAAAACCTATGAAAAAATCTCTTAGAATGAAACTATCAAGTATCTCAATTATTTGTCTGCCATAATTTGCCCTTCTGTTCATTTCCCATGGAATGAGTTATACTTATTTATTGATTCTTCAGATTCATTTGCATTTTGCTCAACTTGATTTTTGTTAAGGAACACTATTTCATGTTGATAATGTTTTAAAGTTCCGCTCAGTTTCTTATAATCACCATCGGATAGGTGTGGTTGTATGAGGGTGTGGATGAGAAGAATACTCACAATCATAGCCATGACCACATCCACACCCAGATGTACTTCGTATTGTACTTTTTGTTTTAAACAAATAAATGATCTTTGAATATGTATGTGTAGATTAAATATAGGAAAGATGACTATTAGTAGAATGGAAAAATAGAAAAATAACTAGCTTGCTCAGGAAAGAACATTAGGAAACAAGTAGCAGGTAATATGTACAAAAAATAAACATATACATTTTCCTGTAAATGTGTGAATTGAATCGAATCCAAATGATATTTTTCATATTCGTTTTGATATTGGATCATTATTCAACACAAAATGAAATGCCTATTTCGAGAAAAAAATATTAGTTTCTGTTCGCATCTATGCTCGTTGAATAATTATTATGTTTCTTCATGCAATTATGTTCACATGTTTTATCATATTACTATAAGCTAACGTTTAAATTTAGTGTTTTCCATGGCAATAGAACTCAATTGTTGATTGAAAAGGTCAAATAGTTTTATTGAGAAGTAGAAACTAATCATAATTAATAATAATCCGATTACCTATAGAGAGTTATTTCTTTATTTCATTGAAATACAATGATTTCAATGAAGGAACAAGAGGATCCATTTCATTAGTTTTTAATGTCGGCTCATCACCTAAGTTACATATTTCTCGTTTTCGTCTTGTATATGATTCAGTAGAGTTTTCTAATGTTCGAAGATATTCCGCTTCAGCTGCTTCTATTTGTTTTACTAGTAAACTAAAATGAGAGTAATCATTTGAAAGTAATACTTGAGATAAATCAAATTCATTTAATGTTTCATTAATAAGTACCTAGATTAACAAATATATGTGTATTTCTCAAATAATATCAAAACTTCCTACCATGATACGATCACTATCAATCACTGTACGCAAACAATGTGCAACTATCAATACTGTACATTCTTTGAATTTATCACGCATGGCTCTTTGAATCAATTCATTTGTTCTAAACAATATATTGAATTGTCCTTGTCAAATATCTAGCTTTTCTTTTTATTCATAGATTGTCCACCTTAGCAGTTGCTTCATCAACTGCAAGAATTTTACTCTTTATCAATAAGGTTCTTGTTCAACATACCAGTTGTTTTTGACCAACACTCAAATTAGATCCATTTTCATTTACTAATGAAGAAAGAACATTGGGCATCACATACTGTTACTAATTTCTTCAATTTCATCTACATCAACAAAACAAATTTATTCAATTACTGACACAAAAAAAAACAAAATTTATTAAATAATAACAGATCTGTTCAAGTGCATCCCATATTTCAGCATCTGAATAAAGACTAAATTGATCAAGATTACTTTTCATTGTACTAATAAAAAAGACCAGGATCCTGTGGAATAATTGAAATACAACGTCGAACATAATCTAATTCAATAGTTGCTATATCAATATTATCAATAGTGATGTGACTATTGACAAGTGTACCTATTCGAAAAAGAGTTTGAATAAATGAACTTTTACCAGCGCCTGTTCTTCTAACAATATCAATTTTTTCACTAGGTTCAATTATTAATGATATATGATGACGAGCCAATAGTGAATTTGGTTTTTCCGAATGAGGCATAGAAACATTGTCGAAAATAATGCGATCTTGTGATGGCCAATTTGTTGGTGGTTTATATTTCGATGACAATTGACAAGATGAGAATATTTCTATTAATATTATAAGTAAACTTTGAACGAATTTTCAATAACAATAATCGATTTACATGATTCTTGTAGTACATAAAAAAATGATCCATATAATCGAACTTTTCCATCGAAATAAGTTGTTTCACTTGTTAATGTTTGTACAAGTGAACTCAGAATAAATGAAATTAACAGTAAAATTATATTTAAATTGGAGAAAAAAGCAAACTTTTCCAGATCCAACAGATCCAATAATACAGATTAAATCACCTGGATGAGCATCAAATATAATATTTTTTAATAAGAATTTTCCATTCTAAAAAAGAAAATAATCATTATTATTTTAGTCAGAAAACATATAAGAATATTTACTTTTTCCAATTGTGCTTGTTTTAAATTGCATATAACTTGAGATGTTTGTTTCATTGAGTTTTCATCAATTTTGTCTATCTCTACAATATCTTTTAAAGATGTTGATAACAATCGATTGTCTCGTTCGGATTCATTAATAAAAAAGAAATGCCTATAGAAAATTTTATTTCAAATGTGGCAATGAAACACAAACAAAAATTCTGTATTCAAACTAACTCGAATTCATTATTGAGCAACCATGTAATGAAGAAGATCATGAATAACCAAGTTAAAATAATTAATGAAAGATTGACGTGAATAACTCAGTAGTATATATGAGAGAGTAAAAACAAGTTCATCAAATTTCACATCAAATGACCACATTGTTTCATACATCATTAAAAATGTTATACTGATGCAACTATGTTGTAAGATCATTTCACATCTAAATAATATATCGACACATGTTTGCATATGTGAGTAGTGTTAGAATGATACACTTATGTTCTTATATAACGAACTTTTCTTTCGAATGCGGATTCCCAACAATACACGTTTACAACTAGCATTGATTTAATAATTTCAAACATAATTTTAATATGTTCATCACTTATGTTCAAAATTTCACTACTAGAAATCATGAAATCTTATCATTGTAAATGATAATAATACAAAGATTTAAAAGAAAAACAAACCGTAAATAAAGAAAAAGACGACTGAATAATGGTTAAATCAATAAGAGAAGTAGCCTTTATCCAATAGCAATAAAAGTACTATATTTAACAAAATGCCACAATAGGAAGACAACTGCAATGGTTTGTAGCGGAGTGACCTTAAAAAAAAACAAAAATCATACTAGTCAATACTTTCCAATGCTGAATTTATATAGTCGCTCTTAAAAAACCATGTGATCATTCATTTGAGATTCTTTTAATTACATATTCAGAAATAGTTCAAAAGTTATGAATCAGTTCTACTTGATTGGCATCATATGCTAATAAATTTGTAATTCCACTAGAGCTGAAGTCATTCATTGCATGACTTGATAAACAAAGTATCTGTTTAAAAAGAATAATTATAAAGTTTTATCATCAATTTATTTTTCATTCACTTTTCGAAAGATTAAATTACTGTTAGCTACACTCATTCGTATACCATACATAACAACACGATAAACATACTATAAAAACCGAGAATAATCTATAAATTCATGCATAGTGGTATCAGAATAAAAGCCAAAGCTGCTAACCAAACTTGCCAAGAAAATCTTGTGGAACATGGTTTGAAAAACTTTATGAAATAGATGAGTAATAATAGTTGGACAATATTTAATAATTCTAATTTAAAAAAAAAAAGAACTAAATTAATATAAAGATATTTAGATCAAAGTAAATTCAAATTCGGTTGTCTTTGCTAACAAAAGGAATTAATAAAAGATCGATAAATATCGGTTTCCATCTCATAGTACGTAATGTAGTTCGAATTAGACTCGGATTTCGTAGACATTGTTTTATTTCATCCAATCAATGTGCTCCAAACTTATTATTTCGTTATTAAAGAAGATAGCCAGCTATACAACAACAAAAAATGACAATAATTAAAAACAGAATGATAAAATAGTTCTACTTACCAGTGAAAAAAAAACATGAAAAGATATTTATTTGTAATAAAGAATTGGGATTGTTTGAAGATGATGGTATCTATATTCAATATTATACCTATCTCTTATTTGATGATTACATCGTACTCTTTCTTCTATCAAATATAATCGTATTTTGTTCTCTTACACGAGTGATATGAGGTAGTTTTGCAATTTGAAAAACGAGAACGATAAGTTCATAGAACAGATATTTTTTTTAGGACTTTGTTTTTTGTTTGTCATACTAATGCGCGTAGAAATAAAAATGAGTATCGTTGCATCAGACCCTCAAATATCATGCAATATTAATTTTAAAACTAGATTCAATTCAATCTAATCTTATTAAAGTGAGTCATGATTGCAACATGTCAAATCATCAATATGATAATGAAATTCTTGCTTATCCTCATTTATCAAATATCATTAATAATGCAACCAATTATATTGATTGAATAAATGATATCATATAAAAATATATTGCATCCTCACATGGTTTCTATTTTTGTTAGAAAACAAAGCATAATTTTTTTTTCGTAGTATAAATATTAAGCTACTATCAAAACCATATGATAATCAACTATTCTTACGGATATGCCAACAAAATAAATACGATTACTTATATGAACTGTTTAAATAATGCAGTAAACATGTTCTGAGCCTAATAATATGGACTGGCTCATAAATAGGATCAAGGTACATTTACTTCGACTAGTTTTTTGTGGTTCTGTTGTTGTTGTTGGACGCTCTTCATATGAAAAAAATGTCCCAAGTAAGCAAAAAATTATGCATGACGGCCGACATGACTAGTCCGAAATGTCCGCAATACCCGTCAGGTCTAGTCTGAAACGTCTTGCACATCCGACATGACTAGTCACCTTTAGGAGAAATGTCCTTCGAACACGTCTGGACTAGTCTAGAATGTCTTTCAACCCCGTCATGCCTGGTCCGTTTTGTCCGTTGAACCCGTCCAAACTAGTCCGAAGTTTAAAAAAGAAGATAAAGGTGAATTCGAACATCCAACCCGACAGTATTCGAAACCTGACGATCATCCTGACGGGAGACTAGGACACTGAAATGAACTGACGCCCATTTACATTCTAAAATACAAAATTGACTCCTTTCCATCCCGTAAACAATCAGAAACCAGTCGATGTCACACGACTTTAACTAGTCTGGAACATCTTCGATAGTAGTTAGGACTATACCGACGCGTCGTCTTCACTCGCCACGACTAGTCCTTTTCTAAAGAGTGTCATTTATCCTGGTCCAGACTAGTCTGAAAGACTCTAATCAAGTCACTTTCTTTAGACTAAATTATCCTATAAACTCGTTTAAACTGATGAATAATGGAAAGAAAAGAAGTAGTATGTAAATAGAAAAAATTTTCAACATCTATATCATTTGTTAAAAATGATCGATGGATAATCATATGCATTTCGAATCTGGACTAGATAACAGAATAGCAACCGTTTTGTTGCCTATAGTGTACTCAGATTTTCGTAAATTGATAACTAAGCATGATCTATTGTATTATGATTATGGAGATTAATAACATGCATTGTTATTTTGTATTAAAATTATGTCGATTGTCACTAGTATTATTAGTTTTTTTCTCTTTCTAGAACGACAATCAGAAAGTCTGTCATAGCCAATAGTGAAATCAAAGATAGATAGTATACTTTGTGCGTTCCTATCTGTCTTGATATATCTTATTATATTTTGTATTTTCATATATTGAAAATATATAAGAGTATATCAAAACATTAAAAAGTGGAAGTAACTATAAAGAACAATAGTTATCAAGCAACAAGGAGTACTAACTTATATTTTTTTAAATTATTAGATGTACCAAATTTAAAAAAAAAGAGCGAAAAAATAATTGAAATCTTTTTGTACCATAATTGCTGCTTTAAATATCAGTCCTAATAAATTTTTAAATTTAAAAGTAGATTTAATTGAAACAAAATTAATTTAATACTTAGTTGAAGACACGATGATTTAAATTTTCAGGTAAACTAAATCATGATATGAAAAATCGAGTTTCTTTTCAATATAAATTGTTTTTTATTTTTGCATTTAAAATTAATTTTTTTAACATAACTAATTATTCCTACTTAATAGTAATAAAAAATATTTATCCAAAAAATATAAATTTTTTTGACTTTGTTTTATCTAGTGTTGTTTAATTAATCACCTATTTTGTAAACGATAATTTTTTATTTAAATGCGAACATCAAAAACGTGGAATAAAATTATATTAAATAGCATCTTAGAATGATTATGTATGTGTAGAGTTGATCTGCTGATCATATGATTCAATGGTCTAAACGATGGGTAAGTAACACATTGTATGCATGTTCGAATCTAACTTTCATCTTTACACATTTTCATTTAGACTAGTCCGAACTCGTCCACTACACAAGACTACAACTTGTTCTATGTGGTGTCGCTGTTACCCGTCCTGACTAATCTTTTTCTCAAAAAGTCCTCCTACAGGACTAGTCCACCTATTAGTGATTCTTACTAGTCCTAGACGGGTCTTTTTAGTGAAACAGACTAGACATGTCAGAGCCAATGACGCCCATCAGTAACATAGTCTGGACGGGTATTATGGACGACAACTTTTTCCAGACTAGTCATGGTATAGTCCGATTTGAGAAAAAGACTATACAGGACGTCCCGTCAGGACTAGATATGAGACTAGTCTTTTTACCCGTCCTTTGCTCGCCTGGGGTTATGCAAAACAAAAGAAAAGGAAACTAGTTCATGACACGATTTTCATATTCACAAAATATATGGCTTAATACACAAGTATCTGACGCTACATTATACAAAAGATAATGAACTGAAAAATACAAGTCTTCATGAACTTTTATTGAATATATCATATACAAAAAAGAACTGTATAGAATACTATACATAGTCTATTGTTTGTAAATCAAATCGACCAAATATCGAACCAATTAAAGGATAAATAAAAACGACTGGATAAAAATATTAGTAAAGTTAAACGATTTATAAAAATAGAATCACGTACTATATTATTTATCGTTTACTCACATGCGTCGAGTTAGAAGAAGAAAAATCAATATCGAACTCGAAGTTCTTGATTGAATTGCACAAAACAAAGTCTTGGAGAAGAATGTCACTGCAGTTATCGATCAGCAAATATCTTACAAAGTCGATAAGAGGTTTAATCTATACAATATGATTTCTTTACAAAAACGCGAACGTTCCATCAACCCAATAGATTACAGACCGAAAAATAGAGACCTGCATTGCAATCACGATTAAAGTACTAGATTGAACAACACACATTGTCGATAATATCCTATAAATGCACCCAGTTTTTCTAAAATCATGAAAAAGTGCGCCATAGATAAGTGATTTTTTAACACTGTGCAATCCGGTGTTATTGTAGGATATTCTAATGGAT